AAGAGCACTGACTGCACTTCCAGAGGTCCTGAGTTCAAATCCCAACAACCACATGGTGGCTCACAACCATCTGTAATGAGATCTGATGCCCTCTTATGGGGTGTCTGAAAATAGGGACAGTACACTTACATATAATAAATAAAATAAATAAACCTTTGGGCCAGAGCGAGAGGGAGAAGGGAAGAGGAAAATAAATTTAAAATAGCCTGATGTGGTGGTACGTACCTTTGATCCCAGCACTCAGGAGGCAGAGGCAAGCACATCTCTGTGAGTTTGAGGCCAGCCTGGTCTACAGAGCAAGTACTAGGATATCTAGAGCTACATAGAGAAACTCTATCTCAAAAAAACAAACAAACAAAAAAAATAGATGACTTGAAAACTGAACACAGACTAAAAACTTCATTATTGTTACATTTGTAATGATAATGGTTTGCCCCTGTTGAAGAGAGAAATGTTACTTAACTTCTTTCAGCAATTTGACCATGAATATTATAACATATATATGAAAAACACTTTAAATATTTTAAATATTTACCTTCTTTCTATTTGTGTGTATACGCATGTTGCATTTGTGCATGAGTGTATGTGTGTGTGTGTGTGTGTGTGTGAAAGTGTGAAAGTGTGTGCTCCTCTGTGGGCATGCACATGCATGCATTCATGCACAGGCCAGGAGAGGGCTTTTGATCTGCTGGAGGTAGAGTTACAGGCAATTGTGAGCCTGCCTGATACAGGTGTTAGGAACTGAGCTCAGGTCCCCTGCAAAAGGACCAGGCCATTGAGCCGTCTCTCAAGCCCCTAAAGTAACAATTTTTACTTAAAATGTATGAATACTGGCTGGAGTCACCTTCTTGGGCAGTAGGGAGAGGATGAGCTCTCTGTCATACGTGGAGGGAATGGCTTGGCTCACCCTCAAGGCACATGGGGCGTCGTGTGGCCAGGCGTGCGTTGTAAGTTCTCTTGTGGTTGATGCTGCTTTCTCAGTGCCATTAGCCATGACATTCGTTTTCTAAAATGTGGGTCTGCCTATGTCTGTCCATGGAATCAGAGCTTCCTGGCTTCCCACCAACTGTCAGCTGTCTCAGCTCCCTGTGAACACAGTTCCTCAGAAGGCTGGCCTCTGTGCTCTTGAGCAGTCACATCTGTCACCCCCCCTTGTCTTTGCGTGAATGGGTCTTTCTGCTTCTATTCTTTTTCCCTGGCCTTTTAGAAATGTACAGCACAAATCTCATCTCTAAAAACATCAACTCTTCCACATAGCTTGCGAGCTCCCTCTTTGCGGCCTCCAGGAGGGCCTGATTGCCAGTTTTCATCAAATGGATGTTGGCTAACCAGCTGAGTACATTGCTCAGTAGACTTGAGTTTACCAAACTCTGTTTCGTCTCAGTTGTAGCTCTGCAAATCCTCATGTTCCACATCCTTAGAGTCAATCACCTGGATGGAAATATTCCTTTTAAGAAGGCATATGACAGGACCTAGGGAGATAACTCAGGAGTTGAGAGTACTACTCTTGCAAAGGACCTGAGTTTGGTTTCCGGCACCCATATCAGCTGGCTCACAAACATGTATGACGTCAGATCCAAAGAGATTTAATGTCTCTGGCCTCCATGGGAACCTGCACTCATGTGTATATAAGCACAAACATGGTGTCATATGTGTATACATGCTACCCAATTAGAAATAATAAAAATGTTAAAAGCATTTAAGGCCAGGAGAGGAGGTTCACACTGCCAATCCTAGTACCTGGGACATGGAGGAAACTAAGGAGGTAGAGTCTAGCCTCAGGTACCTAATGAATCTGAAGGCAGTCTAGGCTACAAGAGACCCTGTCTCAAGATAAATTGCATCTGTATTAAACATGTAAAGCTTTTTCTTCTCATTATTCTCTAAACGGTGCAGTTTAACAACTGCTCATGTGGTGTTCATATTGTTCTAGGAACTGTAAGTAATCTGGTAGCTGGGGGTGGGAGGTTTGGAACCAGTTCCCCTCAGACACCCAAAGATCGATGTTCTTTATTTCAGCTCTTTTAAGCATCTAATCCAGAACCCTGTGCATGAAACAAAGCAAGTCTTTAGTCCCAGCATGTGGGAGGAAGAGGCAAGACATCCTGGCCTACATAGAGAGTACCAGGCTAGCCCAGGCCTATATGTGAGACCCTGTCTCAAAAGAAATGTTTAATTAAAAAAAATGT